CCTTGATCTGTTGGACATTATCTGGTTCCAAAGCCACGCCCTCTAGATTCTCGTCAACTTCATTCTGTAATCTCTCCATCACATCAGGATGAGTAGCCAACTTCTGAATGACAAAGGACATAGCCGCTGAGGTGGTGTCGTGGCCTACACAAGTAAATTACGCATGAAAGTCGACAGCCGAATGCACTCTTACCTTGAATGAATGTTCGAAACACAATTACAGTCTCAAAGTTTTCCCCTAATCATATATCAAGCTGAGTTAAAGTTTAAAAGTTGCTGACCTTCGAACATGAAAGTGTCCACCTCTTCCCTGATGTCCACGAAAGAGAGTCCATGTTGCTCTTTGGCCAACAGAAGCAAGTCCAAAAATGAGTTTCTTTTTCCCCCTCCAACCATGTTGTCCAATTGATCTTTAATTTCTTCCCACCTAGAGTTTCAAATACAACTGTATCACGCTGAACCCGTGTTTTCAGAAAGTCTTCTTTAAGAGAGAATACAAGAGAGAAGAGAAGAGAAAAAAGGGGGATGAGAACTCTTTTTAAAGAGTTGTGGTGTGGCGTAGTTTATTAGATTATTATGACGTCATTAGTGTGCTAGCTATTCGTGCTAAACTCGCCTTTTGTTTATCAAGGTCGTGACCGACCTGCCAATCCTTTCTAGATTTATCACCATGTGCTCTCATTCATTCTGTCACAACTTATGAAAGATTTAAGTTGTATTTGAAAGATTTGTCATGACATTATCTAAGTACTGAACTATCTATATTATTTACATTATATTACGCTAGCAAAACTATAGACGTCGGACAAAACGCTTGCTAGGAATAACGGGTCCTTTCTACTTTCTATCTTAGAAAATAAATCTAAAATTCGCTGAGAAATATTTTATTAGAAAAGAAGTTATTATGAATTTACAGCAAGTTGCCTTTTGACTCAATATCTATTTTAAGGGTGAGATTAGAGATATTTTTACTGAGAGTAGATATTATTTTAGAGATTGGTTGGGGGTGGTTGAAGAGAGTGGTGTTGGTGTTAGAAGTGATATTGTTGGGATATTAGAGAGGGAGGTTGTGGTGTTAGAAGAGATATTGTTGGGAATGAATTCCCGTAGTTTTGAGCTTCTATTTATACTCAGATGGGAAATCCTACCACTTTTCGTATCAAATGAGAAGTTACTTCTTAACTTCGTATTCTCTATTCGTACATTCGTATTTTACGAGAAGAAGGTTTCGTATGCTCGTATTTTACGAGAGGAATCGTTAATATTTGCATTGAATGAGAATAGTCGTTTCAATTCTCAATGCTTAAAACGTTATACGAATTATTCCAATAGCATTTCCCTTCCTTTTGCAAGGGAATAAAAACATATTTCTTTTGTGGTGGCGGCGGCGTCACATTTTGTGAACGCAATAAAATAATTCATGTTTCTGTTTCTATTTGAAATCAGAACAATTACTATTAAACATAACAAGGAGAATTGATTCTTGTTTTACAATTGTTCTTTGAGTACTCACATGGCGCAGCCAGCAGTTTCGACCTCAGAGGATCGAACTGACCTGTTAGGCGTACCCGTATTCTGGCATAAACCAACTGCGGATCCTATTTGGAGAGGAAAAAAACTAAAACTTTCATTTTTATTACTTTCACTTGAATAGTGGGGTAAATTTTGATCGATCGAAGCTTTTTCTTTCAATCTCATAAAGTTGGTTCAATAGTTTGTTGGTATTACAGGTAGCAGATGTTTTTGAACAACTGATACTTTGAGTCGGGCTTGAATGAATATAAATACATCAGTTACATTTATAAATCAAAATAGAGTTTACACAACCAAGGGATTTAACTATAAAATTAAATAAATCAAAATTATTTGTTTCTCAAAAAATTGAAGGTTAGTTTTATTCCTTGAACATTCTTTTTCCGAAGTCTCCTTTTTGTCCTGAAGTATGTGAAGTGGATGTCCATACGCGTAATAAGGGGAGGACTGGTTCATACAAAGGGGGTATTTTTTGTATTTTTGTTTTTTATAATAGTCAAACTTGTTGAGAAAGGCAAAATTAATAGCTATAAATAAATGTTTAAATAAAAGGATAAATTTTTACAATTTTCCTTCCAACCGGGCTATAAGTTGGTGATATTTGTTTTCAAATTGTGGATTTGCTTTTTCAGCTCCCGGATTTGGTGCGTTTCATGTATATGACTGCGCTGAGTTTGCTCAGTATAGTCATCTAACTGGGGGGTTTGTAATTTTGCTGTCAGATATTTTGCTGGGACATAGATTTTTTGATATTCAAGAAGGGAATTAGTTATGGAGTACATTTTTTTTATAGGGTGATAGGCCTCTAATTTAAAACGATTGATTAATGGATTCAAAGCATAATTGAGATCCATATCGAAGCCGGGATTGCTGTTAGAATTTATGTATCGTTCCCTTTCTAACTGAATATGTATTTTAGTATTTAATTCAGTGGGGTGTAAGGGCTGTCCTAATGGTCATTGGATATTGAGAAGTTGATACCGGCGTATTTGCCGTTAGTATCTTATATGGTTTTACAATCTGGGTCCGTTTTTTAATTTTGGAATTCGAGGGAACCAGGGGTATTTTGAAATCGGGGGGTGAAATTTTTAGGGGTGGTGGCTTTGATGCTGTAGTTATTGGGACAGCTGAATTGGTTTGAAGTAGTGGCTCAACGAAAGATCGCGTTGAGGTCGGCTTTGCAGTGGGTGTTGTAGTATTAGAAACAGTTGGTTGTTGAGTGAGTGTTGCGTCCATAGTTGAATCAGTTGGTATATAGTAGAATTTTTTTATTAGACTGGGTTTGTTGGGTGATCCAAATTTTGAGTTCTTCTCTCAAAATTTAATAATTGGATGTGAGGATACATGCGATCCTGGTTTATTTTATCAATTTTCTCTAAAAAAGGAGCTTGTATTTTTTGATCACAATCTTGTTCTATTTTTTCAGTTTGCTCATCTTGAGTGAAAATTGAGGTCACTATCGAAGTGAAAAGTATATTATATGAAGCGGCAAGCAATACTTTGCCAAAGTGCAGTGAGCGGCCGGTGATTTTGTGAATATGCATAGCCTTTATTATGAATACTAGGCAATCTAGTATGAATTTCACAAAAAGAAATGAGGCGAAGACTATTCCGCATTTTTCTAAATAGTATTGTACTTTCCCGAATATACGGGTGTATTCGTTTTTCCAAAAATTTGGAGAGATGAGATAGTCCAAATATATTGTTTGGGAAGAGCCTAGTGGGCTGTATGAGTCCTTGAAAAGAATTTTTTAGCATTTAGAAAGGACCTGGATACTTTTTGCAGTACTCCTTTCATCTCTGAATTATCGGAAATCATATTCCAGAATTTTTGCATTTGAGCATAAGTGTAGATTGAAGCGCCTTGGCTAGAGGCTAAAGAATGCTTATTCTTTTGAATTATCTCTTTTGGTTTAAAGAGATATGGTCCTGTAACCCTTGTAATTTGAGGGGTTAATTCAATCCAGGACTTATCATCATCAACATCTAGTTGAAAGAGATTCGAATGTTTGTCGGAGCAGTCTTGTAGTTCTGCCGACTGAAAAGTTTGTCGCGTAATTGGATTGACAAATCGAATATTTTCCTTATACATAATGGGAATGCGATTATAGCATTCATCCATTAATTGCAAAGGTGAATAAAATTTCGGACAATGGTAGAGCCAGGCAACATTGCCATTGGTCTCTAAGAACATAGAGCGGTTCTGAGTTAAAATATAGCCAGCCAAACGTGCGCTTTCAAGTGAAAGCATTAAAGTATTTAATATTGAGGAGCGTTCTAGCTCACATTGATTTTGCATAAGGGCTAACTCGGCCGTTCTGAGCAAGTAGAAGCTATAAAAAAGAATATAGTCCAATTTGGTTCCCGTTTCTGGGGTTGGTTTAACTTGGATTCCAGTATCCATATCGAAACCGTCAGTGTATGCAATAAAAAGTGAATCATATGAAGTTGGATACACTATTCTGGGATGTCCACAAAGAGATTGCGGTTTATTCATCACCTGTAGCATAAATTTTTGAGAATCCCTTGTATGGGTAGAATGAATAGACGGGCTAGAATCGCCTTTAATTATATAGTATGATTCTTCGTTTTGAATCATTTTAGCCGGAAATCTGTTTAAAACAGTGAAAATGCAATTGTTGGGTTCTTCCCAAGTATAAGCAAAAGCGTCTAAGGATGTTGTTTCACATCCATTTGTAGACACTGGACAGGGCAAAGGAATGTTTTGCCAATTATTGACTGTTCCATCTTTGAGGTTAACAGTCAGAGTTACATTTTGCATGTAAGTTTCAAAAGGGTCCAATTTAATCCAAGAACGGCCATCACATTCGTTATGATGTTTGCCGTCAACTTTGCCAGCATGGGCATTAGTTACTGTTTTAACATTAAATTTGAAAGGAATATTTCCAATACTAGCATAGCCTAGGTTAAGATAGCCTCTGTCGGCGGGGAGGACTGGTTCATACAAAGGGGGTATTTTTTGTATTTTTGTTTTTTATAATAGTCAAACTTGTTGAGAAAGGCAAAATTAATAGCTATAAATAAATGTTTAAATAAAAGGATAAATTTTTACAATTTTCCTTCCAACCGGGCTATAAGTTGGTGATATTTGTTTTCAAATTGTGGATTTGCTTTTTCAGCTCCCGGATTTGGTGCGTTTCATGTATATGACTGCGCTGAGTTTGCTCAGTATAGTCATCTAACTGGGGGGTTTGTAATTTTGCTGTCAGATATTTTGCTGGGACATAGATTTTTTGATATTCAAGAAGGGAATTAGTTATGGAGTACATTTTTTTTATAGGGTGATAGGCCTCTAATTTAAAACGATTGATTAATGGATTCAAAGCATAATTGAGATCCATATCGAAGCCGGGATTGCTGTTAGAATTTATGTATCGTTCCCTTTCTAACTGAATATGTATTTTAGTATTTAATTCAGTGGGGTGTAAGGGCTGTCCTAATGGTCATTGGATATTGAGAAGTTGATACCGGCGTATTTGCCGTTAGTATCTTATATGGTTTTACAATATGGGTCCGTTTTTTAATTTTGGAATTCGAGGGAACCAGGGGTATTTTGAAATCGGGGGGTGAAATTTTTAGGGGTGGTGGCTTTGATGCTGTAGTTATTGGGACAGCTGAATTGGTTTGAAGTAGTGGCTCAACGAAAGATCGTGTTGAGGTCGGCTTTGCAGTGGGTGTTGTAGTATTAGAAACAGTTGGTTGTTGAGTGAGTGTTGCGTCCATAGTTGAATCAGTTGGTATATAGTAGAATTTTTTTATTAGACTGGGTTTGTTGGGTGATCCAAATTTTGAGTTCTTCTCTCAAAATTTAATAATTGGATGTGAGGATACATGCGATCCTGGTTTATTTTATCAATTTTCTCTAAAAAAGGAGCTTGTATTTTTTGATCACAATCTTGTTCTATTTTTTCAGTTTGCTCATCTTGAGTGAAAATTGAGGTCACTATCGAAGTGAAAAGTATATTATATGAAGCGGCAAGCAATACTTTGCCAAAGTGCAGTGAGCGGCCGGTGATTTTGTGAATATGCATAGCCTTTATTATGAATACTAGGCAATCTAGTATGAATTTCACAAAAAGAAATGAGGCGAAGACTATTCCGCATTTTTCTAAATAGTATTGTACTTTCCCGAATATACGGGTGTATTCGTTTTTCCAAAAATTTGGAGAGATGAGATAGTCCAAATATATTGTTTGGGAAGAGCCTAGTGGGCTGTATGAGTCCTTGAAAAGAATTTTTTAGCATTTAGAAAGGACCTGGATACTTTTTGCAGTACTCCTTTCATCTCTGAATTATCGGAAATCATATTCCAGAATTTTTGCATTTGAGCATAAGTGTAGATTGAAGCGCCTTGGCTAGAGGCTAAAGAATGCTTATTCTTTTGAATTATCTCTTTTGGTTTAAAGAGATATGGTCCTGTAACCCTTGTAATTTGAGGGGTTAATTCAATCCAGGACTTATCATCATCAACATCTAGTTGAAAGAGATTCGAATGTTTGTCGGAGCAGTCTTGTAGTTCTGCCGACTGAAAAGTTTGTCGCGTAATTGGATTGACAAATCGAATATTTTCCTTATACATAATGGGAATGCGATTATAGCATTCATCCATTAATTGCAAAGGTGAATAAAATTTCGGACAATGGTAGAGCCAGGCAACATTGCCATTGGTCTCTAAGAACATAGAGCGGTTCTGAGTTAAAATATAGCCAGCCAAACGTGCGCTTTCAAGTGAAAGTATTAAAGTATTTAATATTGAGGAGCGTTCTAGCTCACATTGATTTTGCATAAGGGCTAACTCGGCCGTTCTGAGCAAGTAGAAGCTATAAAAAAGAATATAGTGCAATTTGGTTCCCGTTTCTGGGGTTGGTTTAACTTGGATTCCAGTATCCATATCGAAACCGTCAGTGTATGCAATAAAAAGTGAATCATATGAAGTTGGATACACTATTCTGGGATGTCCACAAAGAGATTGCGGTTTATTCATCACCTGTAGCATAAATTTTTGAGAATCCCTTGTATGGGTAGAATGAATAGACGGGCTAGAATCGCCTTTAATTATATAGTATGATTCTTCGTTTTGAATCATTTTAGCCGGAAATCTGTTTAAAACAGTGAAAATGCAATTGTTGGGTTCTTCCCAAGTATAAGCAAAAGCGTCTAAGGATGTTGTTTCACATCCATTTGTAGACACTGGACAGGGCAAAGGAATGTTTTGCCAATTATTGACTGTTCCATCTTTGAGGTTAACAGTCAGAGTTACATTTTGCATGTAAGTTTCAAAAGGGTCCAATTTAATCCAAGAACGGCCATCACATTCGTTATGATGTTTGCCGTCAACTTTGCCAGCATGGGCATTAGTTACTGTTTTAACATTAAATTTGAAAGGAATATTTCCAATACTAGCATAGCCTAGGTTAAGATAGCCTCTGTCGGCGGCCGATTTACATTGATCGGCAGATAAATGGAGATCAGTAGTGATCATATTTTGTCGAGCGTCGATACCACTCGAATCAAAAGAATCGCAGAACCAACGCATTGATTGGTGTTTGATTCGACACATTGTCGCATTTACTTTTGTGCGATAATGTCTCTGATATAGAGTAACATAAGCATGGGTTACCTTTATATTTTCTAGTTGGACTTTGCAAGGTGCTACTTTATTTAGAGAGAACGTTTTGTTAGAAGTCATTAGTTGACAATCATAATGAGCAACCCGAAGATTATTTGCAGTATTTGCATATAATTGTTCTTTCGGATCAAATGCTGAGGTTTGATTCGAAAGTATTATTAGAGTTAAAAGACCAACCAAATAAATTTTTTGCAAATTTATTTTTTGGTGGTGAATGATAGCAAAAGAATTTTTAAAAGTAGTCACTTTAAGCATTTCCTCGAGAGTGGTTAGAACAGGATCTTGGTCCATTAGTTCACCTTCCTGTAGTTCACTATTTGGATTTGTCATTTTGTGGATTTTTTGTGATGGGAAATCTGAGTTAGATTTCAATTTTTGTTGAGGAATTCAGCAGATTTATTTTTTGGAGAGAGAGGAGGTTTTGAATGCAAGATGTGGAATTGAGCAAGAATGAAAACAACTGTACATCAGTTAGTTTTTAAAGGCTGTTTTTGCTTTTTTACAAATCTAAGCTCTGATTGGCCGTTGTTATTCGGCGTCTTTCGGAAGTGACTCTTTTTAAGTCGTAATTCCTTCGCCATTCGTTTTGTAATGTTGTGGTTTTTTCCACTCTGGCTTTAATGTCGTGGTTTTTCCACTTAGTTTTGATTTGTTGAATGATTTTTATTCGTTTATGCTGGTGTTAATTTTTAACAACTGCATTCCCCTTCCTTATTGGAGGAGGAAAATGAAAAAAACATCTCTTCATAAAAGAGGACTAAAAGCAACATCATTTATTTGCTTTCCGTTTAGTTTAAACTATCTGTATTTTATCCTCAAAAAAAAATTTTCTTCGTCCAAAGTGAATTTTATCGATCCTGAAGATAATCTGGTGGACTTCCCGGATAAGTTTTTGAACTTACGGGATGAGCTAAATTTCAAACACGAAGCCTTGCTGGAGGACAAGGAAGTCGAGAGAAGGGTGGCAATCTATGACGGATTAGTAGAGAAAGGGGCAAATTTAACGCCTATGGAATTTATGATCTTTATGGACCGGAGTTATGTCTTCAAGTATCCGGTACTGAATACCGAGGAGTTATTTGAGCTGGGCTCAATTCAGAGTAGGTTCTTCGCCAAGAAACTACGGAGCCCATGGAGTGGAGACCATGTGGTTTCACAAGAAACAATAGACTTTTTGTCCTTATTCTTTGGAGAGGATGTAAGTTTGTTTTACAATACACCCAATTTTAAAAAATATATATAAAAATTTTTTTTTTATTCAAGTGGCATAGAAACATAGAAATTGTATATAAATTTGTTTTAGTTTCAAGAAGAATTCTTCAGAAAACCAGCAGCAGAGGAAGAATTTAGAAAAAAGATAGAGCTGGATATCGTGTTGGAGGAAATATATCAAGCTTAGTGGCGGCCTTATTCAGCGCTGCAGTTTGCAGTGAGGAGCCTGAGTAGGGCCGCTGAAAACCCTTTGGAAAAGATGGCGGCTGTCAAACTAGTCAAATCTTACACGGATATTAATCCTTATCTTTATAAAAGTTATTTTTAAATTTATTTGTAAATATGTTATTTTTGGTGTTTTGTAAAAGAGAAAAAAAAACGCCAATAAAAAAAAGAATGTTACAAAATATTAGTTTTGGCCAAATAAATAGGTTAGTGTTTTTATTTCTTATTAAATTTGCCAATTAAACTAGATGGAATTGTAGTTCCATAAAAGTTTGTAGGACGATTTGTCCGTTTAGGTCTTTTGGATTCAGAAAGTGATCCAGGTGCGGATCGAGTGTTCTCATAGAAGCTTTCCTGAGAGCTATGAGGGATATTTTTTCCATCAGTAAAGCTTTCTGATGATTCAGATAAACGAGGGATATCAGGAGGACATGGAGTATTATATTGTGTTGTTATATTTTGGTGGCGGCGGCCAAAGTCATTTGCGAGACTATTATTAGGACTTATACTGCGGCTAGGTAGGCGGCGGTGGCCATAACTACTAGATTGACTAGTTGAAGGATTAGGGGTTTTATCAACAGGATAGGGAGTTGAACTTCGAATAGGTCTAAGATTCTGGTCAATCGCAGTCGCATCGAACAAAATTCTTAGATGCATAGTTTCTCTGCCTGAATCTAATGATTGATCTTGGACAATAGTTCTTTTTTGATCCTCATTTGTAGGATTATTATCAGTCATTTGCTGATAACCATTGTTGACTACTGGCCAAAACTGGTATTGTAGATTTTCAACTTGTTTCGGTTTATTGAAAGAGTCGATTTGATGATTTGTTATATGATCATAAAAGTCACTTGAAAATAAATCACTAGAGTACTCTTGTAGTAGTTTGGGCATTTGTTGTTGTTTAGGAAAGTATTCAACAATATGATTGCGGTGGACAATCTTTTTTTCGTTAGTAAAATCATTTTGAATTCCGTATGTTACCTCCTTGATTTTTTCAATTACGGTGTAAGGTCCAGATCTCAAATTCAAAAGCTTTTGAGATTTCAATAGTGGTTTGGATCTATTTTCTAGTAACACCTTAGTGCCTTCTTTTATAGGCCGTCCTAATATAAATTGATTTCGGAACATGTGGGCCTTATTAGTGATGCGGCGGCAATGGGTATAGGTGTTACTATAAATCAACTTAAAATCATTTTCCCTTTTTAGTATTTCGGCGGAAATTTGATTTTTTAGAAATCTATCTATGGTCTCATTGTTTGACTTATGCTCGGTATGAGCATGATTTTCGAGACCAGCGCAAAATTCAGAGGTACATCTTTTGTTTTGGTCGCGGTAGAGGCCTAATTTAAGGCTAAGGGGAACCTGAGGTTTTATGCCAAAGACAATCTCATATGGAGTGTAACCTGTACTTGAATTAATGGCGGTGTTATGTGCAAAAGCTAATTTATTTGTTAATTCAGACCAGTTTGAGCCTGAGGTACTCAAGAAATGTCGAAAGTACTGGGTTAAATGTTTAGTTTGGACTTCAACTTTTCCGTTAGTCTAAGGCGAGTAAGTAGTTCTTGGCCTCAGGGTTATTCCCAATTCAGAGGACCAATGAGCAAAGTCATTACTCATGAATGCACTTCCATTATCATGAATAATTTGTTGTGGAATACCAAATGTTGTGATGTATTTCTCTAAGAGCTTAATGGTTTCCTTATAGTCTGCATGGGTGCATGGATATACTTGAAGATATCTAGAGAAGACATCTATCACAACTAAGCAAAAGTTTTTGCCGTGACTTGATGGTCTAAGTGGACCTTTATGATCAATGTGGATCGATTTCATTGGGATTGTTTCTAATTATCCCCATTGTTGTAATGGAGCTTCATTCAGGTCTTTTCGTTTAGGCTTATTTTTCTGACACTCTAGGCAATCATGAAGAAGCATGTTGACCCATTTATAGAGTCCGGGCCAATAGAAATATCTTCTGATTATTTCCAAAGTTTTTGTTTCGCCGTGATGACCGCTAAGAGGATGCTTATGAGCTAACTCAAAGCAGTTTAGCACTAGGGAGATGGGTAAGCAAATTTTTGGACTCTTAGTATAGTCATCATTATATTCATTAATACATAGAAGATCATGTTGGTCTTCAATGAATAATAATTCAAACTGCCTGATATAGGCTTTTAATCCTTTTTCTTCACGATAAGGATTTTTTTGTTTCTTTCTGGCTTTTCGTTTTGCTTTATGCAATTTTTGATATCTATGATTACAGTATCGTTACACTGCTCTTGCATAATTCTTTCAACGTCTAAATTTGCTTCTTTAGCAAAGTCGGTCATTTTTGCTATCAGTTCAAGAGAATCTGATTTATTCTCTTCAGATTGGAGACTTAGGGTTTCAATTAACTTCAAAGATCTTGTTTTGGTTGCAAAATCATTTTTTGCTTTAACCAGGTCGTTGAGAAGGTTGTTCTCAACATTGCCTTCATATAAGTCAAGCCATTCTGAATTTTCCAAAGGATCATCAAGTGCAGATACTTCATCTGGAATTTCTTCATAAATGTTTTCATTGTTTATATCTGGTATAGATAGTCATTTGATTTGGTTAATTTGTTTGCCAAATCGGAAGAAATCTGCTATATTCTGAATCGCACTACAAGATTCTTCAAAATATTCTGGAGCATTTTCAATGCTGAAGTCTCCTCTGTCAGTCTCGACTGTCATTGCTATTATAGCTTCCAGTGTTATATGGTCGACCTCTAGGGTTACTATTGAATTGCCTATTTTCTTGGTCGTAGAACTGTTTACCAACTTGTTCATTTTCTCTGAATTTGTTTTCTCTGGGATACCTATCATCATAGGTTTGGGGTCTTTTGTTATTGAAAGACGATTGTGCATTAGCCTTTTTGAATTGTTAGTAGTTCTGTTTTGGTTATCCCAGAACCGGTTACTTGGGTTAGGGATACTCTGGTTAGGGAAGTTATTCGGTCTTCGATTTCGTTTATAATCAGTTTCAAATGAAACTCTTCGTTCATTTTTTGTTGTGAGCTCTTTTCGCAATTTATTTACTTCGTCCTGAACTTGTTTTTTTGAACATCTAGATATAGAATGTCCATTCATTCTACAATATTCGCAGAATCGTGTGCTATTAGGTCTTCCCTTGATGTCAAGGTGACGTCGTTGAAATGAATTCTGATCATTGATTGCACTAACTTCTTGATTCTTGATCAATTTAGTTAGTTCTTTAATTTGAGTTTCTAATGAAGTCATTTCATCCGTTGTTGACTTATTAGCAGGATCAGTAGCAACAATGAATGTTAGATCTTTAGTGATTACATGATTTGTGAATTGATCCCAATTGGCATTTGGATGCTCTATCATGTATTCATGAGCTTTTTGTTTAAGGGCTAGAGGTCTTAGTCCCTTAATTGAGAAATCAATATATTTTTGACTTCTTTGTCTGGTTTGTATAGTTCTCTCAGCATTTTGAGCAGCTTCAGTAGCATGAACGGTTTCACCAATACTTTCGGGCCATCCTCTATCTACAGAAGATTTAATTCTGTGGAAGTAATTTTTTATTAATTCGCCATCTTGGCGAGCTGCATTTTCAGCATCAATTCTATGTTTGAATTGATCTCGTCCGTCAGTGAATCTATTTAGGAAGAGATCTTTGAGTTGTGCCCATGTGGTAGCATTGGTAACATTATCATTGAACCATTCAAGAGATGTATCACTTAACAATGATCCGAATAGGGATCGTTGTCTGCTATCATAGCTGCGTCGTGCATCATTATCAGCAGGTCTTTGACCTAATGAGAAAAGAATTTTGTTTTCAACTGAATTCCAAAATGCTGTAGCATTTTGGTTCGGATCGTTTCCCGAAAATGTCATTAAAGACAAGTTGGGATGGGATATTGGGGTATCAGCCATCTTATATTTAGTTTAGAACTTAAAAAGAAAGATAGAAAAATTTATAAATTTATTTAGAAAACTTAAATTTCCGATTTGGAAATTGATTACTTCTCTTTATTTGTATGAGAAATTTCAACAATTCTCCAGTTTGAGAATTGGAATCTTTGCTTTTTTATCTCTTTTTGAGACTTTAGCAATTTTTGCGAATTTTTAGAAGGTGAGCCTCACTGGTCGCACCAATTTATTACGCTAGCAAAACTATAGACGTCGGACAAAACGCTTGCTAGGATTAAAGGGTCCTTTCTACTTTCTATCTTAGAAAGTAAATCTAAAATTCGCTGAGAAATATTTTATTAGAAAAGAAGTTATTATGAATTTACAGCAAGTTGCCTTTTGACTCAATATCTATTTTAAGGGTGAGATTAGAGATATTTTTACTGAGAGTAGATATTATTTTAGAGATTGGTTGGGGGTGGTTGAAGAGAGTGGTGTTGGTGTTAGAAGAGATATTGTTGGGATATTAGAGAGGGAGGTTGTGGTGTTAGAAGAGATATTGTTGGGAATGAATTCCCGTAGTTTTTAGCTTCTATTTATACTCAGATGGGAAATTGTACCACTTTTCGTATCAAATGAGAAGTTACTTCTTAACTTCGTATTCTCTATTCGTACATTCGTACTTTACGAGAAGAAGGTTTCGTATGCTCGTATTTTACGAGAGGAATCGTTAATATTTGCATTGAATGAGAATAGTCGTTTCAATTCTCAATGCTTAAAACGTTATACGAATTATTCCAATAGCATTTCCCTTCCTTTTGCAAGGGAATAAAAACATATTTCTTTTGTGGTGGCGGCGGCGTCACATTTTGTGAACGCAATAACATAATTCATGTTTCTGTTTCTATTTGAAATCAGAACAATTACTATTAAACATAACAAGGAGAATTGATTTTTGTTTTACAATTGTTCTTTGAGTACTCACATGGCGCAGCCAGCAGTTTCGACCTCAGAGGATCGAACTGACCTGTTAGGCGTACCCGTATTCTGGCATAAACCAACTGCGGATCCACCCTGTAGTTGGGATTCTTGGATAGGACAATTCAACTTGGCAATCACTCTGAGAGAAAGGTGTGATCCACGCGAACTGTTAAAACTTCCGGGTATAGTACACGACGATCCTGTTCCAAAACCAGAAGCTGTGGGGGTGGATGAAGATGCTGCAGCAATCGCAAACCGTATTGCACGAAAGGACGCAGCTGTCCGAAGAGTTGCGGAAATGAACGAAGAGCGCCGGGCGAAAGGTCCCAGAGTTGCACCAGGAGTGTATTATTAC